CATATATATACTATATATATACTATATATATATATATATATATATATATATATATATATATATATATATATATATATATATATACTTTACAGTAATATGCAGTATTTACAAGTAGGAGATTCACGTTGAACAGCATTTGAGCAAAACAACGACGGGAAGAGCAGAGGAACACAAAGCCTGCTTTATTAGGGGACATTATGGAGTACATCAGACCTACAGTACCACGAGGTCCCTGTGGGGTATCAAGACCAGCATTGCCCTAGGGAAAAAGATCGGCGGCTACGTCAGCCAGAGGCCGAGCCCTTCACACCTCTCAGCCAACTGCGACGAGATCCTGCACTTCGGCACACAAGAAGCGCCCCAGGCATTGAAAAAGATAAACAACAGCGAAAGGCAACACATTTCCCAAGGCCGTAGCACACACAATCAACGATGTATGATTTAACCAATACTATGGTCAAGTCATACATAGAAGCTAATTGTAGAATCAAATACATTTTATAATAGATCCCGACGAAGCAGTGAAGAGTTGATGATGTATATGTACAATCAAGTTTGAATTCAAACCTCTACATCATAGTCGAGACATTGACGATCCTTTTTTTTTACTCTTCAGACATCCTTTACACGTTAATCTCTTCTTATATTATCTAAATTCCAAACGTCCCAGTATCAAATATCAAATAAAGTAGCTTCAGTAAAGTCTGTGAGAGACGTCGGTTTTTGTTCCTTTTATAAAAAAAATTACAGAAAATTAGAATAGCTGGCACTCAAATAGGCAGTCTGTGATAAATTTAAAGATTATTTAGCAGGGGAGAATTTGTGGTGTACACATAATAGTCCGCTGTTACTTAGAAACATCGAAATTAAGAGCAGTGGAAAGTATATGGTTAAATGACTTGCAACAGTTTAATCTTACAAAAAAGTACAAAACGGGAACGAATAACACCATCGCGGATGAACTAATTATATTACCCGAAATGTAGAAAGTGACACAGAGGAAGTGTACACGGCCATGGCAATAACCTAGGAAAAGGAGAGAAGCTCTTTAAAGGAAGAGCTGATGTCTGCACAGAACGAGGTTAAGTGTTTTAAGGGCATAAGATCACTTGTGAAAAAGAGGACTGGTTGAAAGATGCAAACTTCCGGAATCTGTACAGGGATAGAGACTGATAGTTCCGGATGACATCGTCTGGTACTGAGCGAATGCGGGAGTGAATTTCTGGAGAATAAGGCCTGTATTACCACCCAAATTGAAAACCAGAGTATTACATGCTTGCCATGATCAGTTCGGACATCAAGGGAGAAACAGCATTCAGCCTCGTAAAATCTCGCGGATATTGGCAAGGGCTGTGGGAAGGCGTAGAAAATCATGTTGCACAATGCGAGAGATGTAGCATAGCAAAGGATGAAACCCTGAAGCCTAAAGTAATCATGGGGAAATAGAAGTGAGCCGACCGTGGGAGATGTTAGCAAGGATGGGAATTGAAGATAGAAGGATGGGAATTGAAAATGTTCGTATAGTAACTGACGTATTTACAAGATATTCATTTGCATCTCCAACTTAAGATAAAAAGGCAGGTACTGTAGGAAAAAGATCAAGGCAGAAATTTTCTTAACTTGCTTATCAAACAGTTATGTAACTGTTATGGGGTAGATATAGTAAGAACAAGTGCATATTAATTGCAAGGAAAGAGATGTTGCGAAAGATTTAACCGGACGCTGCATAGGCTTCTAGTAACCTTAGATGAGAAAGCAAAAAACAAGGGGCCGAAACACGTATCCGAGCTAGTTGCTCAATACAGCGCACCACTGCATGCAACGACAGGCTGCTCTCCATTTCACCTCATCTTTGGAAGGGAAGCAAACCTGCCACGAGACCCAGTTGTTATTAATTACCAGGAGGAAACCCTCGACGAATGGGTAAGCGAAATGAGAGAAATCCAAACGACCATTTGGGAATTAGCGAAAGAGGCGGAAAATAGAAACAAATAACTAGGAAACACAAGGATGAGAGAGGGAAAGAGACTAGCTGCTACTGGAAGAGCATTTATATGACGAGCAAGACTCTTGAATCATGCCCTATAGAGGCTCACATGGCGGTTCGAAAAGGTTTGTTTGAAGGCTACTGCTATTTCGTCTTTAGCCTCCAAGTTCTCTCTAAAGCTTCGTCTTCGTTTCTCAAGATGGTCTAGTCAAATATATTCTAGTAGTTAGTTGCTACCGCTTCTTTCAACATGGTAAGAATGGGTCGCTTGATATTTTTTCCTTTGGTATTTGGGAAAAATCGGGCTTAATGTGGTTTGAATAGAAAACCTATATTTACAATAAATTCCGGGTTTTACCTATTTTTAAAGAAACCTTCAAAAATTTGTTAGAGGGCAAATTACATATCTTTATTTATTATGGCTACTTCTCTTACCTGAACAATTCCTAGGGCAAGAGTTCTGTGCTTTATGTCCCAGGTAGGTTCTCAAGCACAGCAGGTGGAAGAAAGTGAATCTGGTGACCTTATTTTTTCATCCTCTGATGCAGAAAACTGATAAAGCTTTGAAGGAGCTGAAAGGAAGTAAATAGACCTATAGTTGCTAAGAATATTCCATACTTGTAACATTCCTTTTCGTGTTGCAGAAAATGACCCCATATTGGGACCCCTTTACGTGTATAGGAGGGGGGGGGGGATATTGCTAGCTGTCTCTTGGATAAAGTGTATGAAAAGTGTGAGATTACAGTGGCTTCTGAAACGATGTTGCACTGCGTCCGTGTATTTAGAAAAAAAAAAGAATCAGCTTCAAAATTACAAAGAAATAATTAAAAAGAAAATTCAGCATTCTGTGACACTTATTTTCACTAATTGAATATTAAAGTCCCAATTTAAAACGAAGCAATGTGTCCAACCCACAAGAAAAGTTAAAACAAGGTTGTTAAAGAGGAACAAAGATTTGCTTACCTTTACCTACATGCGGTTTCTCCCTTGGGTATGGGCAAAATGAGCGACGTAACCCAAAATCACAGAAGCACTCTCAACGGCCAAAAGGTGGAAACTAATACAAGTCGAGCATAAGAATCTTGCCCTTGTGACATCTGAATTCTAAGTAGCTTATCACTGTGCATGGATTCATTAGAAATATTTTTTCTGCTTTTGAACTTGTTCGTGCGACGATAAGAAACTGAATTAAAAATAAAAAGAAAGAAAGACAGCGAGGTTTTGTAAATAACTGAAAGAAAATGTTTAAAGCTGTCTTAATGCATATAACACATCTACCGGTGGTTTCAATAATGGGAAATAGCGCTGAAATGTTATAGATTTGAATATGAAAATACTGTTTCTGTTGCTAATGAAATGTTCCTGCAAGAAAGGTAAGAAACAAAATCATTTGTAAAATATGAACTTTTACCCTACTGCAAAAAATGCATGTTAAATTTTAAATATTTTTTTCTTGCAACTAAATCTTCAGCTTTATTATACTATAATAATTAGAAAAATAGTTTTATACCTTCCAAAATGTACAGTAGTCATTTCTATTTTATTCATTGATATAAAGGAAACAACCAAAAATTGCATGTACTAAGTAAAAGTGTATATTTTCTTTACCTATCAAGATTTTTTTTTCTCTTAGCTAAAGAACCCTGTACAAGTGAGTAAATAAGAAGCGTTTCAACCTAGGTTTAAACGCTGTTATTTTTGACTGCGTAATTGAACTGAAACATAACACTGACTGTCCGTGACCGTCCCATGAAACAACAAACAACCAAAAGGAATAACTCACCCTCAAAAAAAAATAACAGGCTGCCGAAACTCTTGTTGAAGTATTACGGTCCATGTTTGAGTACATAGACCTTGAGAGTTGCCGGGAAGCTGACTCCACATCAAGCACTATCGCGAAGAACATCTGCACTTTGCCGTCACTCTCAGGGAGAGGAACGACCTTCTGCAAAAAGAATAAAGTTAATATTCGTTACCGTTCGTGAGATAAAGGCTTTTAGAAGGGAACACTTATTGTGATTGTATTATCTAAATCATAGGTTCATATATTTTCGTACAAAGGACATACACCGTTTCCACACTGTGTCTATTGCAACGAAATACCCTTTTTAAACAAGCAAAAAAAAAAAAAAAAAAAAAAAAAAAAAAAAAAAAAACAGGTATCACATTCCTTATAAAGAAAACTGTGTCTGAATAATTGTTTACACAAGTTTGCAGCTGGTTTACTGTGTTATCTATGACTCATGATCCAGTATCTCACTCTTTGAAACTATGAAAGCAGAGATGATAAAGGTCACACACAATCATAAATTTCAATCTCTGAGCTGAATATATAAAACTAAAAGCATACGACCGAATTGGTTGGTGTTGCCATTCACCCACTAGGAAAATACTCTTAGGATGTAAAGCAGGGTTTCCCAGCCGAGCACGCCCTGGGGGTGTGAGGTAGCATTCCAAGGGGTGCGTGAAGTGTCCATCTTGAAGACAAGCAATAAAATGAAGACAAGCAATTGATCGATTTATTTCTCATAATTAAGAAACGGGAAGAAAAGAGCCATTGAATTGAAAATTCATTTATATTAACGTTTTAAAGTTAGTTCTTTCATTTTTATAAGTAGGTATTTTAGTCAAGCTTATTATTTTTATAAGGTTTATTCAAATAATCTGGGACATGTTTTCTTATTCAAATGTTTGATTTTCTTTTGTTGACCAAATTTAGTATAACTTCCCCTCCTTTATCCTTAAATAAGCTATAAATGTAAAGGGGATACGAGGATACAGTAACATTTTGTTAGGGGTGCGGGCGTAGAAAAGGCTGGGAACCACTCATGGAGAGAGAGGGGTACATTTTGCTATTCAGTTTTCGTCATTAATTTATTACGAACATCAAACACAAACATCTGCTCTCTGCTATACTTGAATCATTGATCAGAATGGTTCTGTGTATATTTTTCAAAACCTCTGTTATTTTCTTTATTTCCTTGCCCTGTTAATCTTGTATAAATACAACAAA